GATCTCCTTCTCCCCAGCCAGGCTTTAAGATGCAACCCAAGCCCTGGCAGCTTCCTGGCTCCTCCCGTGTGCACCTATCTCCCGTCCAGCCCTTGCTGGGTGCCTGCTCACTGACACCCTGTGTCCCCAAGCCCGATGGCTACCTGGCTGTCTCTTCCCCTGTACTGTGAGCACCAGGATGGTGTCTTTCATCTTTGAATCAATAGCACTATTGTGCCGGCGCACAGTGTGTGTTCAGTAATATTTGTTAAGTGAATCACTTCCCATCCCTAACACCAAATAGCCTGCAGTGGCTGTAGATCCCTGCACCTCTGAAGGAGCCTCTATCTGTGTGTGCACACCCCTCTATGCCTGCCTTGGTACCCCTTCTTTACCCGGATCGGAGACCTCACCCTCACCCCTGCTCCACCCATGAGGGGCTGCTGCCCTAGAATTGCCCCAGGTGTCAGACCCATGCTCTGCTTCAGCTAATCATTTGGAAACTGTGGCAGCCCCTATTTTTCTGCTCTGTGTGTATAGGGAAGGGTGTGGGGTGGGCTGGCAAGCTCCGAGGTCTCCTGCAGAGAGAAGAGTCTGTGACTTCCACCACCCGTGCAGGTCTCCAGATTTCTAGGCCTCCAAAAACTCCCTGTTGAAACACGGGGCTGAAGAGGGTGAGGAGATAGTCCCCCAGGAACTGTGATGCAGGTCTGGGCTGGCATGGGGATGCAATGGCCCAGCTAGGTGGGGCACTGAGGGTCACCTGCTTTCCTAGGAGGAGAAACAGGGCCAGAGCCAAGCCTAATTGGAAACTTGAGGGACAGCAGGACAGAACACTATGCTGTGGCCTTTTGTTCCTTCACTCTAATGCAACGCACATTCCCCATTTAAAGGCAATTTCTTCACTTCAAAAGGATTCCAGCTGGTTAAATTTAAGGTGAAGAATAAGCTCCCAGTCAAGAAGCTTCTCAGGGGCCTTTCAGTTTTCAGTGGCTTGAGAACTGGATGCTTTTAAAAATGTTTTGCCTCTGAATGTTTGTCAGAGCACCAGGGGAGAAAAGTTTCCTCTTAGCCCTCTCACTCCCAGCAATGGCTGGCACAGGAGCAGCCATGTTTCCCTGCACTATGTGCCTTCTTGTACCCTGCTTGACTTCCTCCCATTCTTGCCCAATTCCCTCCCACTCTCCAGCTCACACCTACCACAAGGACAGTCCTGTTGCCCTGGGGTCCACTAGGCTCAGCAGCTTTTCCTCAAATGCCCTAGGACATTTGGCAGCTTAAAAGGGTCAACCATTGGGCTGACATGGCTCACAGCTCACCCTCCAGGAGATGCTCTTCTACCTGCCATTCATTCATTCATGCACTCACTAATTCACTCACTCACCTGGCCACCCAGTCAACCCACAAGGGATCTATAATGCTGGTAGAAACCACAGGTGTTCACAGAAACACAACGCAGAGTCTTGTTCTAGCTTATAATGAGTGAGCAACTCCAGTGCAAGATAGAAGGAAGTAAACACCAGTTTAGAGAGTGGGGGACATTTGAAAAGCTCAGAGAAAGAAGAGATCAGCCAGGGATGCAGGTGGAGCCCAGAGGGAGGCAGTCAGGGAAGGCTTCCTGGAAGAGGAGGCAGTGTGATTGGGGGCGGGGTACAAAGATGCCAAGGGTAGGAAAGTAGCCTGTCCCCTTCCAAGGGCTACAAGGCTTGCTTTGGGGACTCTCTGAGCAAGTCTGCAGGCAGCCACTGATTTGGTGGGGTGGTGTCAATCAGGTGGAAGCAAGGCACCTTCCCCACATGGCAGTCATCCACTCCTACCCTTCTCCATCAGGCCCTGGGCCCACAGGAAATGTCTTCATCCTCTTCTTTGTCCTGACTACTCAGGATCCTTATCCCAGATAATACCCTCTTCAACCTCACCAGGTTGAAGCCTTCACTCTCTCTCTCTCTCTCTCTCACCAGTGAACCTTCACTCTCTCTCTCTCTACAGGGCTTTGTTCACTCAGCCCCTTAAGCTCCAACTACCACTTTCCTTAGCAAGCACTGTCCTTCCTGCCTTCCCCTTTCCATTCTAGCAAGGCACGGCTTCCCTTTGGCCAGCCCCTGCCCCATCCCAATGGCTATGTCAGCTCCCCTGGTGCCCCCCTCCAAGCCCTACCGGGGCTCCACCGGCCAAATCTGTGGGCTCTGGAATTTGACAGACCTAGGTTTGAACTCTGGCTCTGCCACTTTCCAGCTCTGCACTTGGCCAGGTTACTGAAATCCCCCAACATCCCTTTCCGTCCTGCTAAATGGCACCTTGACGCTCCTTCAGAGCAACCACCTACTCTGCTCTTGCTCCTTGTACATTACATGCGGCTTCCTATGGTCACTTTTTGGTTCAGGGATGGGCATGTGACCCAAGTAGGACATTCAATGTTTGAAATGGGTCAGCGTATTTCCACTGGGACTGATAAACTGATCAAATACAAATCTCTGTGGCTGCTAGGGCTGTGTTTGTCACTACAAAGAAGAGTCTCTTTACAGAGCACCTGTACACACAAAAAAAGCAGAGTCAAGAGACGGATTTCTAGTGACATTGAGCACCTGGATCCAGCCACACCTGAAGTTATACCTGGGGTTTTCAGTTTGGTGAACCAATAAGTTCCTCCTTCTTTTGGGGGTCAAGCCAGTTTGAGTTGGCTTTTTCTTGCCACCAGCAGTCTTGAGTAATGAAATACTTAACTTTTAGGTTTGATGAGAGAATTAAATGAAATGATATATAAATAGATAGTACCAAGAATAAAGTGGCACCCAATGAATGGGTAGCTTTTGATAGCACTAACTGAATTTGCCTTCCCAGGGGTCTGTTACATTTTCATAAACTGTAGATATACAGTTGTTTAATATTACAGTTTCATTCTTCCCATAGCTTGAACCTGAACTTCCTTTGAAATCTTTACACCCCCCCCCCACCCCCGGCTTTCACAGCTTGGTGTCCTCCACTAGTCTCTGTTCCAGATCAGTTTTCACTCCCACCCCACCCCTGGGCTGAAACTGGATGGGCTTGTTAACAATAGGAGATGTCAGAACATGGCAGGCGCAATGTTGTCTCTATGTTATGGGCCCATATCCCAGAACAGTCAGTACCAAATGAACCGAATCAAAGCAAAGACCTTCCCAACTGGCTTCAAAGCCCTTCCACAAAGAACGCCAGGCGCTCGGAAAGTCTGCACTGCCATCTAGTGGACATATGCAGTAACATCAGCACACGGAAAGGAGCCCTTTGCCCAGAACCTGGTGAAGACAGTCACCAGCCTAGGAAAGCCTTCAGCCCTTACTCCAGAAGGGGAAAAACAGAGGACAAGTGAATTAACGATGAAGCAACAGTCTTTCCCTACAGGGTCACATATAATCATCCCTGAGAGACTGGGTTCCTGTCCTAAGTCTGTGGCCCTTCACCTCCTGTTGCAAGAGTTAAAATCATGACAGTGTCCCTTTCTCTGCCTCTTTTGGCTGTCCACAGTACATCCTGGGCTAAGGGTCCCCTGGTAGGAGGGCGGATTGCATGTGCATGTGTGTGTATGTGCGTGTGGCAGGAGAAGAAACCAGAAGGCCCCCTGCCAGGTCTCCCAAGAGAAGGATGTTTGTAGCATTTGCAAATAGGACACCTATCAAAGCTTGGTGATAACAGCCTCATAAATTATGAGACATGCCAGGCATGGAGACTCACACCTGTGATCCTAGCACTTTGGGAGGCCAAGGAAGGATTTGCTTGAGGTCAGGTTGAGTACGAGGTTGCTGTTAACTACGATGACGCCACTGCATTTTAGCCTGGGCCACAGAGTAAGACCTTGGCACAAAAAAAACAAAAATAAGAAATAAAACAAAAGATTGTGAAACATAATACGATCTGTTTCTCTCTGATAGTGAAAAACACTTCAAGAAAGAAAGGAAAGCCCACCCTCTAGATCCGAGTAATCCATCTGCTGCTGCCTCCCAGCTTGTGGCCTGGTACTGACCGCAGTCAGGCCAGCCCAGGGCAGTACAAGAACAAGGAAGAACCTCCAGGGGCTCTTCCCAGCCCCCTTCATGGAAGATGATCCAGAAGGTCCACTTGGTGCATGGGCTTAGTCAGATCCTGACCCTTCCACTTCCACACATTTAAGACCTGAGTCTTGGTCACACCCACTCCTTGTGCTAGGTCAATGCCAGCACCTCCTGCCTTAACACAAAAGAAAGCAAGAGGACAACCACTGCTGAAACTTTGGGGGTTCAGTCTGGCCCAAGAATCAAGGAAGGAAGAAGCAGTGACCAAAAGACTTGAGCAGTCCCCGAAGGACATGTTTTGCCTGCACAGAGCAGCTCCACTTCCCACTTAAACGACACTTCCCCAGGCTTTCCAGATCCCCAGACCACGAGAAGCTTCCAGAATATTATGGTACTAATGACTTCTCAGTATAAGAAATAGCTATTTCCCATTCCTAAAATGCTTTGGTCTTCTATTTTAGACAACCTGGAGTGAAAGAAGAGTGTGTCTCACATTGCAACAACAAGCATCAAGATGTGCTGACCTCTGCTTGTTTAGCCTACCTGGGAAGCTCTGTCCAGGTCCATACTGGCCTCTCTCTGGCTCAGAAGAGCTTTTTGAAAGCCCAGCCCATGCACCTTGCAACAGGACTCCTCATTCACCCCCCATCTCTTCCTTCTTTCTGCCACCTCCAAAGCATACATCAACTGGTCTCCACATGGCCTCTGCAGAGCCAGACTTGGGGGTTCAAGGGAGCAGGAAGAGGGCTAGAAAGAGCGATCTCTGACAATCACCAAAGCCCCAGGGCCTGCAACCCTTCCACAGGTCCCCAGCTTCTTCCTCAAAGCCATGGGGCCACTCCAGGGGAAGCACATCTTTATAGAAACAGCCATCTGGTGCCAGCAGACCCAACTCAAATGACTGCACATAGCTTCAAGTGCCCATGCGAGCAAGCTCAGAGGGCATCAAGAACCCCCCGCCTCTCCACCTTCAGGCCAGTTCTGCTTACTCACGTCCTCGGCTTCCGGGTACTTGACTAACGGCTGAGACCAGGAGGTAATCTTCTGTCTGAAGTTGTTGCAGTTAGGAATAATCTTGCAGGCAACGTTCCCCACCTCTGGGTAGTGAACTTCAAGGCCCCTACAGAGAGAGGGAGGAGGGTGCCCTGCGTCAGGCTTTTAGGGCAGCTTGGGGTTGACAAATTTTTAGCCTCGCACTGTTGGAATTATAAAGTCAAATAGGATTAAATTCTAAACTAGCCGTGGATTAGTCTGTGACCCAAGAGTTGCTTGACTTCTTTGTGTCTCCATTTCCTCATCTGTAAAATGGGAGGAGCAATGCCTCCCTTACAGGGCTGGGGTAAGAAGAAAAATGGTGGGCAATGTTTAGGACAGAGGCTGGCACTCTGAGTGTCAGAAAGGGTTAACCATCATTAGCGTTTACTTCCCAAGAGGAATATATGCCCTTAGGCAAACTTGGTCAGCATCTTTAAAGTAGGATGGGTTTTTGTTTTTGAGACAGAGTCTTACTTTGTTGCCCTCGGTAGAGTACCATGGTGTCACAGCTCACAGCAACTTCAAATTCCTGGATTCAAGTGATCCTCTTGTCTTAGCCTCCCAAGTAGCTGGAACTACAGGTATCTGCTACCACACCTGGCTAGTTTTTCTATTATTAGTACAGACAGGGTCTTGTTCTTGCTCAGGCTGGTCTCAAACACCTTCCTGAGCTCAAGTAACCCACCTGCCTCGAGCCACTTCGCCGGGCCTAGTAAGATGGGTTTATAAGAACAATATTTACATATTGCTTTTCAGGAATGCTGTTATTACAGAACGAAGGGTTTAGAAAGTCAGCATGGCCTTGGGAAGACACCGTCTTGCTCCCCTTAGCAATCAAGAGCTCCCATGCCTGAAACCCCACCATTAGTTGAATCATGTACTTCTTTGGGTCAAACACTGGGCTGGATTCTCCTTCAAAATGCAAATATCGCTCAGGAGATAAGATATCTAGTTGCTGCTATGCCTGTAGCAGGAACCCCCCCTCTCTGAGAAGAAAGGTCTGGACAGCACAAGAGGTTTGAGAGGCTGCAGTCCTGGAAGGGGGGAAAAATGTGACACAGAACAAGGGGACAGAGGCTGCAGCAGAGGACAAATGGATGCACCACAGGTCTGCCAGGGCTGGCCTTCAGCGCTCACCTACACTTGAAACTCAGAAACGCAAGCCAGGCTTTGGGAAAGGTTGTGGTTTTTCCCTTGAGCCATAGGCGCCATCCAAGGTTGTGGGGGTTTGTTTGTTTGGTTTTGGTTTTTTGGAGACACTCAGTTGCCCTGGAGTTGAGTGCTGTGGTGTCATCACAGCTCACAGCAACCTCAAACTCGTGGGCTCAAGCACTCCTCTTGCCTCAGCCTCCCAACTAGCTGGGACTACAAGTCCCTGCCACAATGCTGCCCAACTTTTTTTTTTTTCTATTCGTATTAGAGGTGGGAGTCTCACTCCTGCTCAGTCTGGTCTTGAACTCCTGAGCTCAAGTAATCCTCCTGCCTTGGCCTCCCAGAGTACTAGGATTCAGAGGCATGAGATGACGCACCTGGCTACGAAAGATATTTTTAAAAACTTTTTTCACTTGTCCTTCTGTTACATTTTATCACTAAAAACCCAGTTTCTGCAGAGTTAACCCAGTGAAGACAATATACTGAGAGAGAAGGGGCTCAGTGGGTGGTGGTGATAGGTCCCCAGCCTTTCTTGACAGCCCAGCATGGCTGAACTCCTCCACGTGTGGCCTGCAGTGACCACCCACAGCTGTCCTGCTGGGGGCAGCACTTGAAGTGACCCCGTGAGGATGTGATGTGGACACATAGATCTGGGGGTGGCTCCCTGAGGTTGGGGCCTGGGGCAAGGCAAGGGCAGCTTCCTGGTGGGGAGCCCCACAGCCCCCTTCCTACCCTCTAGGGCTTCTGTAGTCCAGCATTGGGCAAAGGCAGCCAAGCCCACTTCACGGGGACAGACACAGACACAGGACACCTCCAGGACCAGCGCCCCTCAAACTCTGGTCCCACAAGTCATCAGCTTGCTGACAGTACTTGCTTCTTTCTCCTCTTCCTGCATTTATGGCAATTGTTTGTGGATGGCAAGGTTTTAGCAGCTTTTAAAGAAATTTCAGGGGATGAATTTCCATTTTTCTTCATAGCAACAGCATCATAAGGACCATCTGATTTGTTTCTACCATAGTTTCCTGCCACCACCGGAGCTATGGAGATGTGAGGCAGAGAAGAGGGGACCCTCCAGGGGCAGAGACAGGGGCAGAGACAGCACACCTGGAATGGGGAAACACCAGGCCCCGGGGAAGAGGTGAACTGTGGGCAGAGCCCGCCATAACAAGTCTCTCCTTTAGATTCCAGTAGGATAACTGCAAATGTTAAGAGTTAAACATGTGACATCAGCAAGTTGATATTTGGTGAGCGAGCCTGGAGCCACAGGGAGTGCCCAGGTAGGACAGGAAACATGCCAGGGGACCGGGGATTAGATCACGTCCCTGTCCTTCTTACCACATCCCTGGGGCATTGCCAGTCCAGCATTTGAAGATGGTATATTTCTCCACGTGGGAGGATGTGCCAAGGGCTGTGTGCAGGCCTCTGTCCTGCTCCCCAGTTTGGTCAGAGGCTTGGAGAAGGACACAGAAGGCAAGTCTATTTGATTTGTAGATGGTACAAGGTTGGTTAGTGACTATCAAGATGATCAGATTGACTTAGAAGATCTGAACAAGCCTGAGATATACTGAATCAAACATTCAAGTTAGTGGGAATACACTTTAAAACTTGCATTTAGGGCTCAGCGCCTGTGGCTCAAGCGGCTAAGGCGCCAGCCACGTACACCTGAGCTGGCAGGTTCAAATCCAGCCCGGGCCCACCAAACAACAATGACAGCTGCAACCAAAAAACAGACAGGCATTATGGTGGGCACCTGTAGTCCCAGCTACTTGGGAAGCAGAGGCAGGAGAATTGCTTGAGCCCAGGAGTTGGAGGTTGCTATGAGCTGTGATGTCACAGCACTCTACCCAGGATAACAGCATGAGGCTCTGTCTCAAAAAAAAAAAAAAAAACCAAAAAGAAAACCTTGCATTTAAGTCCAAAAACCTCAAACATGCCACCTGGTATACTGGCTGCTATGGTTTACCTGACATGGGGTATGTTCTCATTTCTATCCCGAGATTGGGGGCCACCCTTGATTTAAAGTCACCCTAGATAAAGCAGGGTCTCTGGCCCAGGCTTGGTCATTAACTTGCACTGCCTAAGGGACTGGGAACAAAGGGAATGGCATTTATTGAGCCACCCCAATAGGTCAGTTGTACCACACGCATATTATTTCATTTAATACAGCGACGCCTCAGAGCAGCTGTTACCATTATTTTCATCTCTCAGATGACTAAACTGAGAAACTGCAGGACAATAAATGTTTGCAGCTGCTGAATGTCAGGGTAATTTGCTGTGCGGCAACAGACAGCTAATACAGTAGGCTTATCCATACATTTCCCTGTACCACGCAGCTTCCACAGGGAGTCATTTACTTTCTCCAGGCTTGTTTAAGCTAGATGGTCACTGGAGTCTCTCTGCCCGGGTAAGAAGTGGATCAGAGAAACACAGCTCCCCAGCTGTACGTGTGGAGAGGGCTCAGAGTTTCAGCTACCCCAAAGTAAGGGCTATGGTCTGAGTGTTGGTATCCCTTCCAAATTCACATGTTGGAACTTAATTCCCAAAGTGATCATATTAAGAGGGGAAGCCTTTAGGAGGTGATAAGTCACCCTTATAAAAGAGGTTGATGGGCTCTGCCCTTTCCTTCCACTATGTGAAGACGCAGCAAGAAGGCACCACCTCTGGAGCAGACAGCAAGCCCTCACCAGATGCTAAATCTGCTAGCACCTTGACCTTGGACTTCCCAGCCTCTAGAACTGTGAAAACAATACATTTCTTTTCTTTCCTTTTTTTTTGCTTCATGTGTCTTCATAACAGATGCAACCTCAGATTCACACAGGACTGAGAATCTCCTTTTGATTCATTTGAGCCAGTTATTTCAAAATATACCCTAACTTATTTAATTACAGTCACTTTGTCATACTATCAAATACTATTCATTCTACCCAAGTATCTTTTGCATGTT